TGTGTGTTATGAATGCCATTTTATGTTGGATGATATCGGTCACATTACTTAGACCGGATTATTTTTTTTCCCCCCCCTAACTTATTACAGGATGAGGTAAATGTTCAAAGATCTGGAAGGTTCATAAAGTTTCAAGATCATCCTGTTGTTGGTAATCTTTTACTTCAATATTGTGACCCAAGTTGATACCATCATAGCAGAACGGTTTCTCTGTGATGTCTTTTAAGCTTGGAATAGCATATGCAGGGTTGGCACTGATTTCTGTTGAGACTATCTACAAAAATCTGACAAAGAAGCCTGCTACATCTTTATTTATGGTTTAAAGTCCTAATTTGTGTTTGACACCTTTTTCTTCTGTTGTAGGAAAGATGTGTGACGATCTACGGAAATCAAGTTCTCCTGCCAATTTTTTTTTGTAAAGTTGAGCACTTAAAAGAGATCAGTGCTCCCTGTTAACGGTTTGAACTTTGTTGTCATAGTCATGACATGCAGATTAATAAAAAAAAACAAAACAAAAAAAATAAATATGTATGTATATGGGATTTTAACAACACTGCAACAAAATGTGTGACATGCAGATTAATAAAAAACAAAACAAAAAAATAAATATGTATGTATATGGGATTTTAACAACACTGCAACAAAATGTGAAGAATGAAGAGGTTCTGAATGCATGTTAGGAGTTTTGGCTCCTGGAGCGCCCTGTTCCAGCAGAGGTCAGCTCTAGCCCCAGTTAAACACCTGGACCAGATCAAGCACTTCAGGATCTCTGCAGACTTCCAAGTGTGTTGCTGCTAAACTCTACTGGAAAGTAGTCTTCCAGGGTTAGGGCTGGACCCCAATGCTTGAGCATCATTGACTGATATACAGAGAATGAAGGAGGAGTCTGGCGTGGTACAATGTTTGTTTTGTCTCCATTTAGTTCTGTTTTCAAACACTGGGAATAAAAAAGATAAATGGAATGCATTTTAATTGGTCTAAATACTGGAAAATTCCTGAGGACACCCCTGCCCTCCCCCAACCTATTATTATTATTGTTTTCTGTAAAGACATGTTCTTAAAAAATAATAACCCTCTAAAAAGTGTACTTGTCTTGGCCTTTCCTGTAATGTGTCTGCCAGGCCTCATGTTTTAATAATGCTGAAGTGAATACTGAGATGATGTCTCCCTCTGCTGTAATTATTTACAAATTAGCTAAAGGAAAATGGGAGAGACTGGTTATGCACATGTTCATATTTGATCTGCATTAATCATTGCTTTGTGTATTATGGTTTTCACCTGTGTGTTACTAGACAATGAGTCGAGGCTTAACGGACACTACATGCCTGGTGTTAGATTAGCTGGAGTGTAGTCCCTGGAGACTAAAAATAGATTGCTTCAAAATTAAAGTTATATGAAGCATCTACTCCTTTGACATGCATATTTATTAAAAAAAAATGCTTCTGGTCTCTCACTGTACTAAGTATAGGTCTCTGCATTGACTGGAAAAAGCTCATGCGGCATCTTGACGCAGCCAAGTGGAGGCTGCTTTGATCCACCTCAGCCCACAGTGTTGAACCATACAGCTGTATTTGAGGAGTAACTGCGTTTATGCCACCTCTTGAGCAAAGTTAACCTGTAAAGACTCCTAAATGCCACTTCAGAGCGACTGTATGCTGCCTTTGCAGTGTGAATTTGGCACTGTTCTGCAGAGACCAGAAAACAGGTTTTGCTACCTTTGGGAGGTTTGCCTTAAAGCAGCTCTGAGTTGGAGGTGGTGTGCTTCCATGCAACCGAGTCTCTTGGGAAAACCTTGTTTAACAG